CCCCAAAACCCCAAAACCCCAAAACCCCAAATGGATGAAATCATATGCATTAATAAAATAGAACAATCATAATAAAATCAATAAATATTTTCGATATACACTATAGCATGCTTCCACATTAAAATCTCATTAATCCTCATCAAAAGCAGTAATTTGAAGTTTCTGGCCTTTTTCAGGCTAGAATTGTCTGATAGACTCCTTGAAATTTCCAAGTCTCTTTTGAAAACTGATTCTCTTAACCTTTGCTTTGTCAGTGTTAAAGATCATTGGCTGCATAACCAAATCTCTAGCTATAATTTATACTCTCTTTTAATCTCCTTCTATATTCTACATTAGAGCTTTCTTTGCCAGTTATTCCTACTTGATATAGTACTTATTGAGTTCCTAAACAACTTTCTTATTATATAGTATGGGAATATCATCTCTGCCTGTTTATTTATCCATTTGAACAGTTCTGTTTTTTATTTGATTAATTTCAGATTCTTTTTCTGTAAGTTCAGATATCCTCTCAGGATAAAAATCAACGTTGGAATTAAAAACGATGCTTCGCCTCAATGAACTATTGAAGCCTACATTCTACTAATTCCTAGATTTGCTTGACTATCTACTCAACCTGTCATCAACATTGTATGTGCCAGGACAGGGTACAGAAGAATAATTTGAGCTGGTTTCATCAAACAGTATACTTCTCCTCTAAGAATCGCGGAAGACTCTGCTTTTTCCAAGTTCAGATTTAACTTGATCAGATATGGACTTAAATTACTTTAGAAACTACTATGAAGATACTTTACTTAGCGAACTGCTACTAGGCATTCTAAAGTTTACTAAATGGCCAGTCACAGCGTCTTATACTTTGATCAAGGATTCAACAAATGGATTTCTAGATTTAGTATCTTGATCTTGCTGCAATTTATGAGGAGTATCATAAAATTCTTGCTTGTTAAAATTCTAGGATAGATTCTTCTGTAATGTCTTATAATCTGTACTCATCTAAGGTGTAGATAAATTTCTCTAAAGTAAATTAGGTTTATTCCTTGAATTCATCATAGGGGTTTCAGGTCCTTTCATCCATTTTTGGTTGCTATACAGTTCGGGCGTTTGAACTACCTCACTCTAGACATACTTTTAAAATATAGGCATTAGCTCCTATTAGCCACCACCAGATCCATAATTATGTTCGTATGTTCCATCATTATTTTCTGTATTTTTCAAATACTTCATCTTAATATCCCTCAAATAGAACCCGTGAAGATGAATTGAGGCTTTGGCGCTTTTTCATAGATTCTACTGCTAAGCAGATCCAATTAATCGGCCCAACTTATCTCTTTCATTTAGAAAGGGCACAAATTGAGAAGGGACTTATTAGCCTTTATTTTTCGCTTATCTCTGAATAAAACTTTGCTTCTGGCTTATTTTTCTCGTATTTATCTCCTAAACAGTTGAATCTGCCTGTAACTCATCTAGTTTCAAGGAGATATCATATATTTAGGTAGGGCTTTCCAAAGGCTACGTTGATATTTTCTTTATGTAGTTCTATTGCTCCATTGTAATTTACTATAAAGCGCAAATTAATCAATTTTATTTTTCATTTATAAACCAATTTATTCTTGTTGAACGGGGTTTTGGGGTTTTGGGGTTTTGGGG